CTGTAAGGATGCCTATGTTCAATAAATGGTCAACTGTCAACACTTACGTGAACCATCTAAAAGCTTGCATCTTAGGAGGGGCTGGGATTTTCAATACCTTTACTGGCTGTTAAAGGGACAGTCCCTGAAGCTGTAGTAAAATGACTTGACCAAGAAGGTCCCACAGTTTCTTGTCCCCCAAATGATTATGTATATACCATCCCGTGGAATGTAAAATTTTTGCAAAGCACCTAACAGTTGTATGAACTATTGTATCTATTTCTCATTAAGGTTTCTTCTAAAGCTGGGGATAACACTACAACTCCATTATTTCTCTCAATCATTTCAGAGATAAGTCTTGAGAAGGAATCAGCAAGGGTCCTACTTTTGAGCTATATATATTTGTCCAAAATTTAATGTGTATTATATTCTTCAATTGGAAACAGCAACCCTATGAAGGATTGCCTGAGTTAAAACCTCTCCAAGCACCCGACATTCGGTAACATTTGACATTTTTTATCATCCATCTGTCTCGGCCAACATGCTCGTGGAAAATGACCAGTTTCCACAAGTGATAGGTGCGCCTTTTGTATAGGGGTGGCAAGGGTTCAGGTCGGATCCAGATCCAGGTCCGGCCCCCGACCCGATTGAACCTGACCCATAAATAATAAATTATATATTTAAATGCATTTAAATATTATGTTAAATATATGCACTTTATTTAAATATTATTAAAATATTATACATTAAACATTATTTAAATGGTAACACTATTTTGTAGTTCTTCACTACCATTTGCCCAATACTGCTTCATTCACCTCTTCTATTATTCTAATGCCAGCCCCTCAAGTCCTTTTGGAAGGCATACATGATCATCCTTGACCAAGTGTAGGCTATGTCGATCTTCAGAATCTCCACAAAGAAAATCCTGTTGAATCTCTATTGTCCTCTAGGCTGAGGCAAGCATTTTGAAGAGGGCTATGAGGTGAACGAGATGGAGGATAAGGTGGGTTTTGGTAAGGTTTATCTTTCCCCCAAGGGAAAAGTATCTACTCTCCCATGTTGCCGACCTCTTTTCAAATCTCTCAATGACCTGTCCCATTAATTTCTTTGCATTTTCCCACACATAATGGCAACCCCAACTATTTGGTTGGCACTCGGTCCACTCCACAATCCAATGCTGCAACAAGCTACTCCACATTTTAATGGCTGAAATCAATCCCCTTGATTCTTGTTTTGGATATGTCAAACTTCAGGCCTTACAAAATTACAAAGCATTTTAAGAACGGCCACAATTGTCAAGCTACCCAGCTTCTATTTTGATGAAAATCATCATATCAACAGCATAATGCAGGCTTGACCATTTTGAGTTGTTTTGCACCCTTGAATGAGTGCCCTAGCTTGGATTCTTGGTAGCATAAGACTAAAGGTTTCATTTATGGTAGAAAAGAAGGGGGGAAGAGAAGATCAGCTGAATGCAGTCCCTTGGAGCTCGGGAATTATGTTTTCCTTAATTTGTAAGTATTGCTCAGCTTACATTCATAACGTCATCAGGAACTCATGCATTTACAATGAAAACTTCAAAGGAATAACAATATGTTATAGTGAATTGACGTGGTCTTGTTCTGTCCTAAGCATTTTCTACAATTGATGTGAGACCTAAAATTCTTCAATTTCTCAAAGCGTCATAAAACTTATGATAATAAAAAAGAACACAGGCATTTTAGCAATTTCTCATTACAATTATTCATTGTACATACTTTGTATAATTTTCTTGTAAGTGAATCGGATATTAGTTGTGCATACACAGTAAGGTACTTGGCTTTTTACAATCTCATGCAATTGTATGCAATAGATATTGTTCCTTCATAATACCCAGTGTTTTTCTAATCAGCTGAGGCAAAGTACTCGGCATCTGCCAAAGCTGAGCAACCATGGCAAGTTGGCCAGGACTTGCCTGAGTCCAGACTCATCTAGTAAGAGGGGCAAAAAACATGAAAAATGCAAAAAAAAATAGAAAAATGGTTAGAAGTCTGAAAAATTCAGAAAACTCATGAACATACAAAAAATTCGTACAAAATAAAAACTATTTAAAACATGGAATAGGAATTTACTGATGACATTGGCTTAAAAAAAATATAAAATCTAAAAAATGGGAATTTCAGAAAAATTAAAAACACAAAACATCAAAAACATAAAAGTATTACAAAATAATAAAAATATTCTATTTGATTCAAATTTTAAATTGAAAAAAAACTGGATCATAGCCAAATTTTCAAGGCCGATCCCCAATCTTCGCGCCCAATGCAAATCAATATCAATACTCAAATCCTTGTCAAAGCTTCCTCAAACAACCCCAATCAAAACACCCAAACTAGTATTTGGGTTTCAATTCCAGGTCTAGGAGATCCGAGCTCTTGAAAAATTCAAATGAATAGTGAATTCAAATTTCAAATCTCTCACATCCTAATTTGTTGTGTTTTTGTGAAAATCAAGCCTATGATTGGATCAATAACACAAAATAAAATTTGAGATCAATTTTCATCAAAGATAGACCATTGATTGAGAAAAAAATTGCAAATTTTCGAAATCGGGCTAAAAATCGTTCAGTTGTTTCGATCTAAAAAATATATTAAATCTAATATGTTTTCTCAAATCTACTATTTCTAGTAGATAGATCAGGCAAAAAATCTTACTAAGAATGTGATTTGGCTCAAATGGGTAAACCCTAAACCTCAAAATTAAAGAAACTAAGAAGAAATGGGGGGCAGATTTCTGCCACCCCTTTTAAAAGCATAAGTGTACAGTACTCGGATGTGTATTGTAGCGACTCGCTAAGTATTATGAAACTCAGGTGAGCTTCACCGAGTTCCGCAATACTCAGACAGTCCCTATGGTGTTCACGTTAGTGCTGTACATGTACACATTGTGTACATTGTTCCAAACTCAGCAGGGTACCAAGTCCGAGTAAATTCGCCCGAGTCCGGGTAGACTCCGGTGAGTTTGTCAGAACTGTTCATAACATACCCCGAAACACTTGTTGAATTTGGCATAATCTCAGGCCTATGATTTGGAGAGCTTACATGATGTCTCACCACAACATCTCATTTTCATTTGACCCCCTTCCCCCTCTACCCACAAATAACAACCCTTTATTGTTCTCTCTACTTTTCTGTTCTGTTAGTCCAATTCTTCAATAGATTAAGTTGAAAATGTGGCAGTCTCTATACCTGTAGCGTCAAGCTAGAGCAACATGGGCATATGACTTGTCTACCCATATTGGTCACCAAGACTGGCTTTACTAGCAAGCTGAACATATATTTGAAATAAGTATAACATGCAAACAACATAACATTTTGCGAAATGAAAACAATTACACTTCACCTTTAAAAGGTCAGTAATTAGATATGCCCACTCATCCCATAGATAAGAAGACAATATAACCCAAATAATCAAAACATGATATAATCTAATAACTATCTTCATTATCCGAGTTCTTATCCTAATTATTTTGGGTCAACTACACAAATCATGTTCCACCATTTCGCTCTCTAAAGGGCCATACCTTAAGTCAGACCATAAGTCACCCTATATTTTCTCAATACTTCAATCATCTCCTTTGGGGCCTTCCCCTTGCCCTTCTAGAGCCTTTTACCTTAACCAAATCACCATTCCTAACCGATGTTGTTCTAGGTCGATGCTGCACATGGCCAGAATACCTAAGTCTATTTTGCCCATTTTATCGCCAATTGCAGCTACCCCTAAGTTTCCTCAAATGTATTCATTCCAAATTCTATCCTTCCTTGTCTTGCCACTCATCTATCTCAACATCCTCATCTCAGTTGCAATCATTCTATGGATATGTTTTTTCTTTACTACCCAACATCCCCTCCCATGGCTGGCCTTACAGCCGTCCGATAGAACTTCCCCATTAGTTTCAGGGTTATGCGACGATCACATAAGACTCCAGAAGCACATCTCCACTTCGTGCACCCAGCTCTAATTCTATGAGCAATTTCTCCTTTCTCATGGATTATCAACCTAAGATATCAAACATAATCTCTTTTAGCTACTTCTTGGTCATCAATCTTAACTAATTCATCGGTTCTGCTCCTATTATTACTAAACTTACATTCCATATATTCTATTTCAATCTGACTAATTTTAAAACCTCTTGATTCTAAAGCATCCCTCGAAAGTTTTAACTTTGCATTTACATTGTCTCTAGTCTCATCTATTAAAACATTGTCATTTGCAAACAACATACACCACGAGACCTCATCCTAAAGATGCCTAGGTAACTCGTCCATAACCAATGCAAAGAAATATGAACTCAGTGTTGATCCCTAATATAGGCCTCCTATCACCGAAAACTCCCTTGTCGCTCCACTAGTTGTCCTCACATTAGTTAGTGCTCATTCATATCCCTAGTATGATATAATCTAATGGATTATTGAAAAATTATCACCTATTTGGTCATCACCATAGTACAATGGACAATGACAGAGAGAGATGGTCTATATTTTCTGTGGTCCATTGGATTTGCTATCCCCAACATCACAAGAACAATGCCACTCAAATGTCTTAACACAAGAAGGATGAGATATCCCTACACATTAGTTAGTGCTCCTACATATCCCTACTATGATATAATCTATGGATTATTGAAAAATCATCACCTATTTGGTCATCACCATAGAACGATGGACAATTACGGAGAGAGATGGTCCATATTTTCCGTGGTCCATTGGACTTGCTATCCCCAACATCACAAGAACAATGCCACTCAGATGCCTTAACACAAGAAGGATGCGAAGCAAATCCAAAGGTGAAGAAATCTCCAATGACATCAATAGACATGGTTGCAACATTCACATTTAATGATGTGAATTGGGGATATTTGCATATTAGGGTAAAAATCACAGTGACGTATCAAAACACAATGTAGATGACATCGTTTCTTAAAGTAGAAAAGTGTTCCCATCAAAAAAAAGTTTTATGAGCATAGGATCCTCAAGTACCTGGAGCTTCTGAGCTTAGCTGATGTTGTTTCAGCTCTTTTATTGTCCTAATGACTGACTTATGCTTGCCAAAAGATGAAACAATTTGCGGCAAGAGCAACTTCAGCTGGGCCTCTGACTCAGGCTCTTTGCTGTACTTCGATAATAATGCTTGGACATCTTTATGTGGATCATCAGAGCTGTATGACAACACAATCCAATATTTCAAGGGCCTAAGCCTAGGATATGTGGAATGCATAGAAACTAGTATGGGAACTACGAATCAGAAACTGAACATTGTGCAACAAGCTCTACAATAGAGCCAATGGACTATCACATACGTACTCAGGTCATCACTGTCCAATGAAATGATTGATGATGATCGAGAGTGGGTGGGATCCACCAGATCAGAAGTCAGAACAGGACCCAATGGTGGGCTCCAGTCCCTCTCCATCACTGTCAGTCATTTCATTGAATAGCAAAGACTCCAATGGATTCTATGGTCTGTTGAGTAAGAGTACGCTTTCAATTATTACTAATAGAAGACAGAATATATCACTAGAGAGTAAAGATATACAAGCTGGACGCAAGAAGAGAGTCTTTGAGTGCAGCCAAGTTCTCAGAAGGTACAAAGTGACTTCCAAGGCCCACATAAAGAGCATCAGCAGGGCTTGAAATCCTTTCCCCAGTAAGTCCTAGATAAGCACCTGCGATGAAGTAGCACAAAGTCATAAATGGATGGCAGTATAAAAAATGCTCATGGGTAACTATAGCATATCCAAAGGACCATGGAAAACCATAATCAACAGGCTCATCACTTATCACAATCCTTTGAAATGGATGATGGGGACTGTTGAACACATAGTTGGAGTCTTGTCCTGTTCCGGTGAGCTCCACACTCTTCCATCACCATCCTCATTCCAACGAATGGTGAAGACTCCAATGGACTATGGTTTCCTATAGTCCATAGATTATAATATGGTTTAAAGGACTAGGATACCTGATGGCAGGCATTCTATAATAAGAATTTCTTAGATCCCAAGTGCATACTTACCAACAGCTCCTTCTCCAGGACTTTTTGCTGCTACATAAGCAAACCCAACATCTGGAAATAAGCCAATCCCATTTTCTGGCATGGCAAGAAGAGTCCTCTGGAGAAAAAGAACAAATAAACTACTTATGATTGTGAAGTGCAATAAAAAATATGCTTGGCACATCTGCGGGAATCATGCAAGTTCTTCAGATATTTGGAATATCAAAACAATGTGAGAGATAGGACAATTGTTTTCTAAATAACCATTTTACCCCAATCCATTCAACACGTTATGTGTAAATGTCTTAATATGCATGGTAGTTTCAATTCAAAACAGGGAGCAAAATCATCTTTAGAACAAAGTTGAAGGGTCCAGCACTTCTTTGCAATTTCAAGCTATTGGAAAACTAGCATGATTTATACTTTATGTCCCAAGCAATATTTGATATTTTCCCTATTTACAATTTATCCATATGGAAGTTTCCTTGTATAATAAAGAGCCCCACCTCAGTGACTATCCGGTATCGTCCATGCCCAGAAAGGCCGATTCCAAATCCCATGGTAACACCATCCATGAAGCAAATATAAGGTTTTCTATACTCAGCAATTTTACATATTAGGGAATATTCTGCAGTAAATACCTGCAAAAAAACACTTTCAATCAAAGAAACTTTCGAAGCTAACAATAATTTAAATATGTATATTGATTTTGGAGACTAATGCTCTGCCTTTCATAAATCACATGCTTGTATACAAAAGTTCATCGTCCTAACTCCCAATTGCTTATCACATAAAAGTATTCGCACATATGGCTTCTGTCATTTAACAACAAGTCAAGCTCAATATTGGCTACAGCTTAGGGTTGAGTCTCTTTCTTTCTCCAAGCTAAGTTTTAATAACCTTTCATGTGTACAGTTTGTCCATAGTTTACCTATTATCATTCAAGTAGGAGTTATGTTCGTTGAGAAAAATAACAGACAGTCTGAAAGTATGCTACAATCCAATGGGCTATGGAAAAAGTGAAAAACCATAGCCCTTGGTTCATCATGCTCAATTTACATGTGGAAAATTGTGGGGAGGGGGGAGGGGGGGAGGGAGGGAGAGATAGAGTTGTATATGGCATACTTTCCCAAAGACAATTTTGCATGACTAGCAACTAGCTATATGCTAGCATTGTACCTCAAGGAAAAAGAATTAAGAGACATGGATATCACACAAAGCCAACCAACCAAGACATCACATTGGACCACTAGTGGATAAATTTGTAGGTCGTTCTTCATATTAACAAAGACAGAAAGGACAAGCCGGGACCTCAAAACCATAAACCAAACAAAGTACACAAAACAAAGAAATATGATACACTTTGACTCTATGAAATTGTACAAAACATCAAACGGGTCCCCCCTCTCCAATCTATTTGATGACACATGTGCAAATCAAAATCCACCAAGCAATCAAGTTTTCGCCCTCTAAACATGTCTTATGAACTGAAAAGCTATTTCCATGTGGATGTCCCCGATCTCTGCAAATCAAACACTAATCACCACTGTCAAACCCTTTTCTGGCCCATATTTTGGATCCAGACAATCCACATCCACCATGAATCTCTTAGGCTACTACTTGTTTGACATCAGATATTCAAAAAGCCTGCTATAAATTGATAATTTGACAATGTTTTTGTTGGTATGGACATCCCGACCATATCATATGTCGATGACATTCTAAAAGTACAATTTTAGATGAAGGATTGGGGCAAATTTACTGTGTAATCAGGTTAGCACGGCACCCGCTAATTGTTTAATTGCTGAACATAAATATATGCAAATAAATAAAATTTTAGACCTATGATATTTTAGAGAGATACTAGAGGTTTCAAAGAGAATTCTCTCTTATGAGAAATTGGGGGAGTGGGAAGGGTTTGAAGATAGATTGGAAGGCGGGTGTAGGGTCTGATCTCGTGAGGGATATTCTAGCAGGTGAGGCCAACTTCTGTTTTCAGGTTGATCAGGTTTCCCCCAAACTTATGGTGAAGTGTGTCAAAACATGTAGTTGGGGGGGTACATGAGCATTTTCTAGATATGCCCATCACTCCTATTAAAAACACTATCTTAAAACATTGCTTGAAAGATACACATGTGGAATAAAATGCATTTCTTTATACTTGATTGCATGCATGAATGCTAGTACTCATGAATTTATTACTTAGGTATTCATGCATTTATGTGAATAGTATCAAGGTTATCATAAAAATGCATATACTTATCGAAGAAGGCAAGAAGCGTATGCATATAAAGAGACAAATTATAAAAAATATGAATAAAAAACCAATAAGCATAGCTACGTATTGATAAGTCATTAAGTGGTTTATCAAAGGGATTATAAGGAACTCCTATATCATATAAAGAGAGGTGGTGACCTCTGTTTACGAATGTTTTGTGTAGCCTAAGCTAAATGTTGCAGCTTAGGGTTAGCCTCTGGTACTCTCACTCACCTTTCAAGGTAGAAAAGGTGGTTGACCTTTTAAATCCACAGGGAACTTGTTGCTCTCCCGTATTCCAATAACTTAAGGGCCCAGGAACCTCCTCCATTTACGTTTAGTTCTATTTCATTTTCTTCCTCGCTTGTTTGATTCATATGATTGTGATTACAGTGTGACTAAAAATTTTAACATATAGACTATCATAATTTTAAACTTCATCAGCTTAGATGACAGCGGACTTCCCAACCTCAAAATTGAGTACTTTGTTTGTTGGCTTTTGCAACCAGTCTACTTTCATAATATAAGTATAGTTTTTTAGCTCTTCTTGGGGGTTTGATACCAGATGATATATCACTTCACTGTTGTCCAATATTTCACATCTTTCTTGTTTGGAAAGATTCTAGTTGTCTATGCTCAACATTTCCACATTTCACACTCTTTTTTTTGTGTGTGAGAAAAGGTTACCTTTTTTATTTATAGTAAAAAAAAACATTATGAGATAACTAAAGATCACATGCCACAAGTTGGGTGCTCATATGTTCAATATAGTTAATATAAAAATCAACAGTATCATGTTAGTTTGGGCCATGTTTATTAAGTCTTATTAGTTACAGAAGATGTTGAAAAATATACACTGTAGTACTACACAAACACCGCTAGTAATTAACAAAAATTAATGACAAATGGAAATGGTATATATGCAACCATCTCAAAAGTATTGCTCTAGATTGCAGATTATCAAACTTTTTACTTCAATTAAACACATCAGATTTCTTGAGTCTTCTAGTGGCCAGATGCTCAAAAAATTTACCAGATAATGAGAAAACTCTCAAGCAGATAAATTAGATCTAGGACTCACAAACTCCCACTACCATTCATAATATTGAGACATGTCTTCAGTTAACCAAAAAAACAGAAAAAGTACCTTTTCATTAGAGCCACTCAACCGTTTATAAAAATATCAATTTTCTAAACACTTGCAAGAATCCAGTTCAATGGAAGGAAGTTAAATTGTTTAACTTGTTATATACTGATTAATGTCAAAGTTATGAAATAATATTTCAAGACCTCAATATTTACAGCAATCATTTGGGTTCTATTGCATTGGGTTGACATCCACTTCACATCTCCACCTGCAGATTACACTAAGGGGTTGGTTATCACCAATACGAATGATTATTATTTAGCTGTTATCTATACCAAGCAGATGGAAGATAAGAGAAGATGGAACTTTGAACATGTTAAAAACTTAGTAGTGTGAAAGACTCTCATAAAAATGACCTTTTGAACAAGAGGAGTCATTTTGTCCTTTTGAATTTCAGCAACAACACCCTTAATATCCATTCCTGCATTAACCATAACCTTCAACCCTCAAAACTAACACAGAATCCCAAAGAAATTCAAAAATCTATCGTTCATGAAAATTGAAAAAAAATTATATAAAT